GCCTGGTCAAAAGAGAGTGTACGAACAGTGGAAACTAGCTTGATAAAGCTGAAGAGAGTAGGAATAAGTGTGATTCCCACAGACGGCGCCAGATGTTGATGCATAAAATTGGTGAGGACTTTGGTACAATAGAAAGTGTCAAGTTTGTGACCTTCACTAGATTGCTCCGGTCACTAGTGTGGATACGTATGTAAAGTGATAAAGACAGTGAAGCAAACACAAGATGTACGTGGTTCACCCGGATTGGCTATGTCCACGGAGTAGAGGAGTTCTCATTAATAGTGAAGGGTTTACACAAATACATAGGTTCAAACTCTCCTTAAGTGAGTTCGAATAAGTAGTTTAGTACAAATGACATTAGGGATTGTTATAGGAGAATGATCTCCTTTTATAGAATAAGAGAGTTTCTAGCTTTATCCTGACATTGACACGTGTCTCGCTGTGATTGACCTCCTAGTTGGAGGGAAACTCTTATGGGTCCTTGACGGTATAATGTTGAGTTGTGCTCAGTAGTTTCGAGATTGGTTAAGTATGGTACAAACAAACAACATGGAAATAAGAGTAGTTAGTTTGACAAGATTGAACATACCGAAAACCTCACAATAAGCAACAGAAATGAACATAAAAACCAAACAAGATGCATAAAAGTCAAATCTATTGTATATAAATGCAAATATAGGAGATTCGAGCAAGGTTTGTCCCTCGTAAGCTCTTCTCCTTGTGTTTTACAAAGACAAATGCTTTGGGAAAATCGTAGCAGAGCTTCTAAAATGGACAAAAGAGAGCTTTTTTAAAGTAGATCTAAAACTTGAAAGAAAAGGGGTAGACAAAATAAAGCTATATGGTTTTTGCTGTTGATTTCAGAGTTGAGTGTGTTGAGAGAGATTTCTGCTTGCATTCTTTACTGCTTTTATAGACCTTCTAGCCCGAGTGCCCAACCATTCTCTTTTAGTGTACTTCCCTCCCAATGATTGCTTTTGAAACAAGGTGGGTCACCATTTTCTTTTTGTTATTTACCTACCAGTACTTTTTATCAAGGGTGAGTTGTCCTCTGCCCTTTGTTACTTCTATCATAGGCTTGCTGCCCATTAGCCGTCAAAGATAATATTTAAATCTATGTTGGGCCTGCACTTCAACTAACCCAAAGCCAAGAAGCTTTTCTGTACCTGGGCCTTTAATGAATCCAGCCCACTATTAATTAGCCACCGAAACAGTTATATTATGTTTCTGTATGATTGCTTGGACTTTTTTGGCTTTGGCATTATTGTGGTGGCTAGATTAGTAGCAATGTTCTTTCACAAATGGAATACGCATTGGAGATCATAGAGGATGCACCTTATCTTGGTGCCAAACCAACGTCATTTCCCAAGTTACAAAACTTGCCAAAAATGATGAGAGTTGCACTGATGACCCATCATCACATCGGAGACTTGTTGGACATGCATTTAAAATGTGTCCTGCAAATTCAACTGCAAGAAAGAACAAAACATGAATTTCAAAGTTTTAATCTCTTTAGCAAAGTGAGATTAAGACATGAATTTAAAATTATATGATTCGAAAAGGCTAGAACCCAAAAGTTATAAAGTTTGGTGAGAGGTCTTGTTTTTGTATGTCATCTTCAAGGACAAGTAATGTACATCCCTCTTATAAGTCACAACATTTCAAAATTTCAGAAAGTGTCCTTCATGAATATGACATTCCATATAAATCTACTGCAACCCGTGGGGTCAATGGCCCCATATGAATTGAATTACTAACAACCCGACATTAATTTACAAGGCCGGAGATAAGGGTGTGGTTCTCCCCTAATTGATTTAGACAGCACAAGTGCACTTAACAGTCAAGTTTCTTCTTCCATGCCATATTAGAGAAAGGAGTGTATTTTTGCTTGCCATCTTTAAGTTGTGGTAATATTCACTATTCTATTTATCATTGTTGAATGAATTTAAATGTTGAGATTTGTGTATATCTAATACACAGATATCAAACTTAAACACCTCTAATGGTGATAAAAAATGTGATGAGCATCACTATCACTTGAGGGTGGTGAGCAAAAATATTACTTTAGAGAAAAACTTCAATTAGTGGATAAAATACTCAAATTAGCAGAGAAACCTCCAACGCATCTTTAATTTCTATCGAGGAAACAATGCATATATTTCCAGTCTAAATTTAGACAAATATTGGTAAAAACTAGTAGCAATGCTCTTTGAATTATACTCGAGTTTTATTTTCATTAGGATGAATTGTTGGCTCAATTCCTGAATTATCACTTGAGTGAAAATTAGATCTCTAAATTATTTTTTTGGGTAAAATAAAATGAATTGACGAAAAATTGACCCAAGTGTATCACATGCAAGTTACGTAACTTAAATTGGCGAAAAACTGAATATAAATGCTTTGCATATAATATTGGGAGCTTTCATGAAACGAGCTTGAGCTAAGTTTATTTTAACCAAAAATCATGCTATAACTTTATCTAATGAAAAAGAATCAAATATTAATGAAAAACCCTTAAATTTTAATAAAAATGACAAATAAACTTAAATTTTAATGAAAAAGACACAACTTTAATATAATTTAAAAATAAAAAAAAAGAACTGACCCGCATGACCCATGCGTCCATTACAGACATTATTTATGAAAATGAACGTTATTTATAAAACTGAAAGGTACAATACTATTTATTGGTCCAATTTCATAAATAATGTCTAGTTCTTGGTCATGTTTCATAAATAGTGTCTAGTTATTGAGTCCAGTTTCATAAATAGTGTATAGTAATTGGTATAGTTTCATAAATAATATCTCTTTCTTGCTCCGGTTTCATAAATATTGTCTAGTTATTGGTCCACTTTCATAAATAGTACCTAGTTCTTGACCATATTTCATAAATAGTGTCTAGTTCTTAATCCAATTTAATAGTGTATAGTCCACTTTCATAAATAGTTTCCACCTATTGACTTAGTTTTAGAAATAGTGCCTAATTCTTGGTTTCATTTTATAAATAATGTCTACTTATTGGTTCAGTTTCATAAATAGTGTCTAATTATTGGTCAAGTTATATAAATACTGTCTAATTTTTTGTCCTATTTCTTAAGGTTTGAAACTTATACCTATCCATTGGGTCAATGAACCTAGAAGTGATCCTTTATATCAAAATCTTGAGAAGATTATGTCCTCAATAATTATATTTAAAAAGTTGTTTTCAATTACCAAATTAAAATTCCTCATTTTTTTACATACTTACAATAACACAAGTGGAACATCACATGTTATTATGTAAGTGCTGAGAAATTTTATTTTTTATGTTATTAATTTTTTAACACAAGAATCTCACCATTTATATAGAGACACGTAGTGTACCACCTCGTGTTCTGTGCACATTGAAAAATCTTTCATCATTTTGATTACTATTAGGAGACAACACCACAAAAATAAAACTAGGAAATGTAATTTAATTTGAAGTCCTTCTCTTATTCTAAGCCCCCAAAAAAAAAAAAAAAAAAAAATTCTCTTAATGATAGTTGACAACGGAAGAAAAAAGAGTGGAAAGGGGGGAGGGGGTGTGGGGGTTACGTGCGCCCAGCGCAAGTGGTGTTTTCTTATGTTTTATTTATTTTTTATTATTTTGTTCTTATCATTAATTAAAATTAGCATATGATTTTTTATTAAAATGTAAAGATTTCAAGCTTTTTTCATTAGTTTTTCTTATAATATTAGAATGTATTTAGCAGATTTTTAATTAGTTTAAGAACTAATTTTTCTAAAAATATAGTTTAAAAACCTAATTTTTACTTTGATAATAATTTACTTACTAAATTAGCGCATTCCTCTTTTAGTTTGAAAATTCCAAAAATAGTGTCTATCTTTTACAAAATTGGACGCGTGTTGCGCTACTAGTCGTTTCCTTCAATTATTGATAGCATTGCTTTCTAATCTGCTTCACTTAAGCAAATGGACTATTTAGAGCATTGCTTGACTTGTCATTTCCAAGCCAAGCTTGAAGCTACCGCTAAGAAAGATAACAGCTCCTTCTGCCTGCATATGTGTTCATCTGTTATTCCAAGAACATGAAAGGTTACTTATGCCTTCAGATTTCCTGTATTCCTACTCTATAATTCTGTTCACACTTCCGTTTTCATGTTTTCTCTGATTTTAATTGCAGCTTGTTAGAAGAAAATAAAGAGTTACGCACCCGCCTCCGTTCTTACTTATTTACTTGCAGCTTGTTCTTAATTACTTGTTTAAGCTTAAGAAGAGAATAAGGTATGTCCTTCCGTTTCCTTCTTTGACTTCATTCTGTGTTTTACTTCTCAAACTTTTAATTCAAGTATCTGTGCGGTTGAAGATTTGGTGGGCTCATTCATCTAATATTCCTGTATGGAAAAAGGAAAACCCTACTCCTGTATGAACAAGGCAATCAGTTTCTTTGCAATTTGACCTTTTCTTAACTTCTTCGGTTCCTCTACCCTTTTTCCAATCTCTTTTCTTCTACTTTTATTTTTTATATTTTTTTGGGTTGTTCTGTAGTGTTCGGTATAGCTGAAAGACGAGTGGCGCTCCAGATGTACACCACTTGTCCGTGCAGTGTTAAGAAATCACAAAATCAAACTCTAATATCCCATTTTTCTCTTCTAACAAATGATATTATGTTCAGGGAGGGTGTTGATTTGGCCTCATAATAAACTAGCAATAATATAATTCAAATTCGTTTTTTATGGGAATCGAATCTAAAACCTCTCACTTCCAAATGAAAAAGAATGCAATTAAACTGTAGTACTAATATTGTTAATCTATTAACTACTACTAGTATACACACACTTTGTGTGTAAAATTTTTTATTTTTATTTTTAAAACTGAAGGAGAGAGGAAGAGAGTGAGTGAATGTGGATGTTGAAGTGGGAGGGAGTGAGAGAGGTTTTTTATTTTTTATTTTTTAATTTATTTTTTAAAGAATAGAAATTTTTAAATCACCTGTATGTAAGGTCTAAACAAAAAATAGCAAAATTTTGTTTTGTAAAATTACATTACTACTCTTAACTTTTTTCTTGTGATAGAAGACTAAATAATTTTTTTACCATTTTTTTTTTTTGGACAAAGAAGGTTCTATTAATATGTAATTTAAATGTAGTAATGTCAAAGGAGAAATAACACTCCAAATGGAAGAAGAGAAATAGATTTCACATTGAACTATTTGTCTAGAATAATGAATTCTGTTTTTATAGACATTTATCGTATCCTTTCCTCGTGATGCTATATAATTTAATTATTTCTTTTAAAATTAATCAAAAGTTCATCCGTACTCCAAGAACTATTAGGAAAATTGCGATGGACTTGTAAATCGTACGTATATTGATGATCTCGAAATAATGTAACATTCGTTTTGCTTTTTCCATGCAGTTGTCTCCAAAAGAAAGCTTATTATAAAGCATAAACAAAACGAAAAGAGTTGCAAAAACTTCTCGAGGAGCTCCAGTATGTACTTTATCTCATTGTATAATTCGCTTGCAAATTATTATTTGCATTTTAAAAATTAAATTGCCCAGAAAGTTAATTTCATTTGGAAACTGTTAGTTTCATTTGAGAATTGTTATTTGTATTTCAAATACTTGTTGCAACCACCATCTCCACCAACAGTGCCGTTATCTTATCCATTACAAAAACATTATTACCAAACACAAAATCATTACTTTTTGTCATTATATTACATATGTCTTTAGGCTACCAAACACAAAATTAATAAAATTACTATTATACCCTTCTATACATAATTGAAAGAAAATATTAGATTAGGAAAAAAAAAATTTCTCCCCATAAGTAACCATAGTTTTACTCCTACACTTTTTCTCTCCAACTCCCTACTTTTACCCTTTTGTTGTGGCTTATGACAAGGGAGAGAGGAAGGCACAGTAAAGAGATGTGTTTATAGGGTTGTGTAGAAGATGTGTTATTACGCCTACGCAATGCCTTTATTTATAGTAATAAGGGAAGGAAGAATCCTTCTCCTCCAAGGAATACAAGTCTTAATAGAGAAGAATAACTAATACCAAATCTAATCATGGATTTACACAATAACACTTTAATACAATGTTTATAACACTCCCCCTTGAGTGTGTAAATACTCAAGTAAATTTGGCATCATGTCGAGTACATTACGATCAAACAAGTATACTTTAGGATACTCCCACTGAATTTGACATAATTTCAAAGAGAACTAACAATGTTACAACTCGGAAAGTTTACACATACCTATTCCTTGAACAAGCTTCTGAAACGTCGCATTCGGTAGTGAATTGGTGAAAATGTCGGCCATGTTGTCTTGTGAACGAATTTGCGTGACTTCAATCTTCTGATGCTTTTATTGTAGTGAGAAGAAAAACTTCGACATCATGTGCTTGGTGTTGTCTCATTTGATGTAACCATTCTTGAGTTGTTCGATGTATGTTGCGTTATCTTCATAGATCGTCATAGGGACGTCAACAATGAGGTAAAGATTGTAGGAGCTTCGAATATGGCCCACAACTGCTCTTAGCCAGAAGCATTCCCGAGTAGCTTCATGTAAGGTGAGCATTTCAGCATAGTTAGACGAAGTGGCAATTAAGGTTTGTTTAGTTGACCTTTAAGATATTGTGTTGCCTCCAACAGTAAAGACATAACCCATTTGAGAGAGCGCCCTATGCGGATCAGATAAGTAACCTATGTCAACGTAACTAAGAAGGTGGGAATCGACTCGAGAACCGGGGGGTTTACGGCATAACTCGAGGATCCATAGGGATAGAACAGGCCCAAATTTGTAGTACCCTTAAGGTAACGGAAGATGTCTTTAACACCAGTCCAGGCGTGTTGGTGCATTACTATATCTTGCTAAAAAATTAACAAAAGTACAATAAAGCGCCTATCGCACTTAGATAAAGAACTCCGGGTTCCAAAATCTCTTCTTCATCCTCATTCAGACGGAAAGGATCTCATTTTGCAATTGAATAACAATAAGAGTACTCAAAGGCTTCACTTTATCCTCGTTAAAGCGGTGCAACACCTTATGGATGTAGTTCGATTGATGTACTAAGATTCCATTTGAACAGTGCTTTATATCAAGACCGAGACAATATCGAGTCTTTCCTAGATCTTTCATCTCAAATTCTGATTTCAGGTGTGCGATAGTTCTCTCGAGCTCTTCAGAAGTTCCGATTAGATTCATGTTGTTGACATAAATTGCAAGAATTGCAAAACTGGATTATGACTTCTTAATGAACACGTAAGGGAATAGTTCATTGTTCACATATCTCTAACTAGTCAGATACTCGCTTAAATGGTTATACCACATTCTTCCGGATTGCTTCAAATCGTATAATGAACGCCTCAGTCAAATTGAGAGTGTGTTCCGAGGTCTAGAACTATTTGATCCAGTCAAAGTAAGTCCTCCGAGAACTTTCATATAAATTTCCATATCAAGATCCTTATAGGGATACGAATTTTTTTTTATCCATAAGCTGCATACTCAGTTTTTCGAAAACTTCCAAACTAATAAGGTAACAATAAGTAATCACATCCATAACGGTGAAGAAGTTTCATTACAGTCAATCCCGAAGCGTTGTGAGAAGCCTTGCATAACAAGACAAGCTTTGTAATGCGCAATTTCGTTATTCTCATTACTTTTCTAAACGAAAACCCATTTGTAGCCACTTCAAATGTGGAAGAGTATGAGCTACAGGTCCAAACACCTTACATTTTGCAAGCGAATTGAGTTCGACTTGGATTGCTTATTTCCAGTTTGACAAATCATTTCTCCGTCGACATTCATCAATGAAACTAGGTTCAATGTCATCGCTCAACATGATATCAGTAGTTACTGGATACGCTAATGCATCGTCAATTATCATCTCATTTCTACACCAAACATCATCCAACCTAGCATAATGGACCAAAATTTCACGATTTTTGGGAGGTGGATTCGTCCCTTCAAGGACACTTCCATAATCTAGAATTTCGTCATGAGTTAGATAGAATGAGTAGGTGATAGTTAGATTCACAATAGGCTCAGTACCTGTGTCGTGGCTTTCCTTTTCCAGGAGTGTGAATCATCTAAACCAAGAAGTCTGTTATGCTTTTATACAAGGGCAAAGGATTGGCTAGCCGCTAATATACATGGATTGGCCGAATTAGCATCCCGAGCCTCCAAAAGGGAAGTCTGTCATACATTTAGTACATCCATCTTTGCAGACACTTTTGCAGCTGGAATATATGATCTTATCCCTCACCCTGGATCTATGAAATCATCTGGCAAGCTTTTCAGATTGAGTGGTGTGGGGATCTAAATGAGACAGAGTGGGAGTCATCTACAATCATTTGTGTCGTTCTTCAAGAACGATGACATTCTTATCTCCCTTTAACAACGGAAAGACTGTCTTATAGAAGTAACAATCCACGAAACGAGCGGTAAAAAGATTATGTAACGAATAATTGAAGTAGATCATATCCGAAATAGATTCTCATCCTTTGTTGAGGCCCCATTCTTGTATTTAAGGGCGACGAAATCAGCACTTAGACCACATAACAAAAAATATGCAGATGCAATATGTCGGGTTCGTATTTGGTTACCAACTGAGCAACACTATATGGTTGGGTCGCAACATGGCTACGTGTAATATTGCATGGCCTCAAGCTGTAATTGGCGGCTTGGTACGTATGACCAACGATCATGTAATCATTTGTAAGCGTTTAATGAATGCCTTTGCCAGGTCATTCCTGGTGTGAACATGGGATACATGATGTTCAACTTCAACCCCAACCAACATGCAATAGTCATCAAAAGTTTTAGATGTGAATTCTCCAGCATTATCCAATCGAATAGATTTGATCGGATAATTAGGGTGGTAAGCCCTGAGCTTGATAACATGTGCCAACAGTTTGGAAAAAATATTGTTTCTTGTGGACAACAACCACACGTGTGACCCAAACAGTAATGCCAAAGTGTAATTTCGTGCTCAATCCCTCAGGTAGGGTTGACCATATAATGGCTCTCTATTGGACGTATGGTTGTAATACACAGACCACTCGGGATACGCTCCATCTTCTCTATAATATGCTTCTGGCCATATTCGTAGGAAGTGATGCACAAAAATTCATCTCCATTTTCTACATAGGTTTCAACGTGATAATTATTGTCTCAAATGTCTTTGAAGCTCAACAACGTTCTTCCCAAAATGTGGAGAATAATGTGCCTCATCAATGGTCAAGATTGTATCATTGGACAACATTATACGTGCCTTACCATATCCTTCAATCAGGTTAGATGGGCCTGAGAGGGTTATCAGAGGTGTAGTTTTAGGTATGTAGTTAGTGAAATAGATGTGTTTACGCAAAACAGTGTGCGTGGTTGCACTATCTGCTAGACAACTAACTTTCCCACCAGTCATACCTAGGAATAAAATTAATTTAAATTGGTCACATGCATAAAAGTTCTAAAAACAAATATCCTTTCAAAATAATTTAAATATTCAAGGATGGTAATTAAAACAACTTAATATCCAAAATTAAAAAAAAAATCACCAACAAATAATCCAAACATAAAGGAAAATTGTTCAAACTTAAACCAAAAAACAAGAAGGGGGTTAAGCCCCTTAGTGGAATTTGGCCCTAAGGGTCTAAAATTCAACGAAAAAAATGGTCCATGTTTAAGATTCTACTCTTCCATAGGGGTAACGACCTCTTGAAAATCAGAAACAGCACACACGGGACCAATGGTCATTTGAACCACAGCGTCCAGGATCGACACGTGACATCACCAAATACTCGTATATCTCATATACCCTGTCTCCGGGATATGGCAAATCACAATTCGAGAATCAAATTGCAAAGAAATTTTCATTTACCTTATGGCTCCATATAACCTCCTCATTAGACTGCATACGTACCCTCAATAGGGATCAAGCCATTCGTAGTTCACTTATCACAAAATCAAACGTTTATTCCACTAAGTTCAAGCAGAAAAGCGTAGCATTCCTCAATCATTTATTATAACCTGACAACATGTAATTCCTGGACTCAAGCTACATAACCAATCCCCATGAAGACATGATTTCTCTCCCATCCAACATATTAATCATTATGTCTCATCATGATATTGCAATTCACAACACACATCATATTTAAGAGCCAACGAAACACAAAACCATTCTCTAGCCGCATTAATTAATCAATTTGATCAAAGTAATAACAATCATTCCCATATCTTCTAAATTCATACCTACCTTATGAAATTATAATCAAATCATAGAAATCCCGAAGGAGTCACTCAGACGTCCAACATATTTTCTAACTCAATTCATAAGACTCTCGAAACCATTGACACTAATATATATAAAACTAAGGCTAGAGTGACACAGTTAGGCCAAGCCTACTTCTCCAAATAATGGGATTTTAGGCCACTCCACGAAATTCAACAGCCTTGGGTTCCAGACCACTCAACGGAATCAAACCAAATATGATCGCCTATAAAATGTACCATGTACAACCAATCATCATCACCCATCGCGGATATACCAAGCAGGACCATAAGCATAAACTCATTGTGCATGCAGTGATCATCCATCGCGGATATACCAAGCATGATCACTCCTGAGTACATATAGTCCCCCATTACGGATATACTAAGCAAAACCATCCATGTACCACTACTATGTGGTGCAATCTCATCATCACACATTAAATATAATTATGTGCATACAAGTTATCGATTCCACATATCAACCAGCATCTAGTCATATGAAGCACAACACAAGGAATTCCCTTAATTACTATTTCTACTAAAAATCTAATAAAGTACCTAACTCATCTCCTGACTTCCATCTCCATCTCATGCTAGGTAGTAATGCCAAGTTCAAAAAGGTATTCAGTTGGCAATCATATCCAAATAATTATCAAACAATATTTAAATCCCATAATTGTCATAACATTCATCATAATTATCAATCACATTATTAAAAAGATAATTAAACACATATATATCACAACATCATCAATGCACATGCCAAAACCTATTTAATAAGCATAGGTCTATGGCTAAATATATAAAAATCACATTTCAATAGAAATCATATTTATAAGACCAATTCATATTCACAATTGATATTAATATAAGAAATTAAGATAATAAACATATCTCATATATTCAAGTCACTATCTAACCAATATAGGCTCACTAGTCATGCACCGCCGATGCCGGTTGGCCTCCCTGACTCGCCGAAAAAATTCAACTATTTTAAAATTTTCCAATTTTTACAGGCAAGTAGAGTTCAATGAGAGGAACAACTTTCATACCTGGGCCGAAGTCCAATTCGACCAGGAAGAACCCCAAATTCACTCAAACCCGCTGGAAACGCTAAGATGGGTCTCCTTCTCTTCGACTTCCTCGATATTCCAACGCCCCTACTACTAATTGAGTCTTGTTCCTGGGTTCAAGAGAAGTTGATCAAGGGTGATGGTGAATGGTGATGCTCACCGGACCGACGAATCGTCGTCGAGAACCCTCGGGTTCTCCAGTGGAGTTCTACCCTATTAGACC